AGAGTCTTTGCATGGCAGTGAACCTTTAAGCAAAGTTGTAGTATTTGAGTAGGGAAACAACTTTTATGTTTGAGTCTTGAACTAATTCTGTGCATAGCTTAGTCATTTTGTGCTCACAAAAATCAACAATTCACTGGTTTTCAGCACTTAGAATTTTTCTAAGTCCTTCTCGGTTTTCCAGTTTCGTCGGCTTGACTTTTGCATGATATTACTCGGTATTGGTTGGGAATTAGGACTCGATCCTTTAATAGAAGTTGAAGATGGTATATAGGTCTACGACTTTGATTTATATTGTTATCGATTTTGATTCACGGTTTAGGAGAACGAACGTCGTCAAATTTCGTCGTCAGGCTCTGATCGCGGGTCTGATGGCCGTAACGGTTCGGTCTTCAGTGGCCGACCGCGGCAGAGCTCGGCTACCACGTGGAGGCCACACGTCGCCGACGTCCTGCTGAGCCAGGCCACGACGGGCTGCCGCACGCCTCAACACGCCCCGCACTCGCCCGCTCCCTCCCGCGCTCTCATTCGGTCTTCTGTTTGCTCCTTCGTCGCCCGCAGCAAGCACAGCGCAGCGCCGCAGCTCTGCCGGCACCTTTGGCAGCACAAAGCTCGCCCACGTCGTGCAATCACCACCGTACCAGCGCCACCATAGTCCCCTTCCGCGCGTCCACCTCGCCGCTGAGCCGTTTGAGCTTTGGTAAGGACGCATTGTCCATTCCCGCCACCACCGCCATGGGCGTGTCCTCGCCGGAGTTGAGGCCGCCGTGGTCGGGGTAGCTGGAAACTCCATCGTCCTCCTCTCTTTCCCTGGGTAGCACCGTAGCGATCCCCTGTAGCTCATGCCATGCTCGATTGACGCAGCCATGGCTTGCCGTCGCCGGCATCTCACGTCGGAGCTCGGCCATGCCGCCATCACCGTCGGCGCGCCACCTCCGCTAGGTCTTAGGTCTCGCCGGTAGCACCAATCGAGTCGCCTCATCGCGGAGAGCACGCCGGTGCTTTCGGTGTCGCCGGAGGAGCCACCGTCGGTGAGTTTCGCCGTTGCCGCGCCGTTGAGTGAGCCGTCCCCTGTTTTTATTGTCGCTCACGCGTGGGCCCAGCTGACGTGTCGGTCCCGCTTGCCAGTGACTGTTGAGCAATAGGATAGTGCAAATATTCCAGGTTTCTATGCTGTTTTGTGAATTTTGTATCTCCATTTTGGTAGATCCAAATGGTGTGATTCAAATTTTGGTAGAATCACAGTGAAGTCTAGTATTTAACAAAAATATGATATGGGCACTTGTAGTGGAAATTTTGGATGAATTAAATAGGAACTTGAAATGTGTTTTTAAATGCATGCCAACTTGTTTAAATCGTATCTTGAGTTTCTGTGTTCCAAAAATTATGAAATTTTGTGGGTAAGCTAGTCTTGCTTAGTAGAAGCTCTGGTAAAAATTTGAGAGTCATTGCATGTGTGGATTTTGAGTTATAGATTTTCCTTTTGTCATTGATTGATACTTGTGTAAATTTTTGTAAATTATCTAGGAATCCTATGACCATGAAATTTTGTAGGGAGTATCCCAGTACCTTAAGGATGTTAGGAAAAATATAAAATCTATTGCTTGGCACTTTTAACTAAGGTTTTCTATTTATGCCTTTTTAAGCACTTATGCCTTGTCATTTTTGTGTAGGCTACTTTACTTATCGAAATACCATGAAAATTTTATGGTAGTCTACTTAGAGTAGTACTATGCTACTATAATTTTCTAAGATTTTTATGAGCAACAGAAATATATGTTGCCGTGTAGCCCTAGTTTAAAATGAAATCAAATGATCTTCTTGAATGCGAGTTTAGCTAATAATATTCGCTTTGGTGTATCTTTGAAGCATCTTAGTTTGCTGTGGTGATTTGGCATGCTAGTACAATGGTTGTCGTAGTAGATAGTAGTACATGTTCTTGGATGATGTCGACTACCTTGTAGAAGAGCGTTGCTACTACTAGGTCCAATAAAGTTAAACATGTTCATCTATATTTCATGCATCATGATCATTACATGTCATCTCTCCGATGCACCTATGCATTAGCACTTATACATCCGCATCATACAGGATTGCAGGAGGAGTTGCTAGTAGCAGTTCAGGAAAAGCAGACCGGGACAGATCCACAAGAAGTCTATGCACAGGAGGTGCCATAGGAAGAGGAGCAAGGAGAGGACTTGCCCGAGTGCGTGGATCATCATCCTAGTTCGTTCGAACGAGGCAAGCCCCGGAGCATTCAAAGTCTCCTAAGTTACAAAAGCAATTCTTTCTATATATATGAGTTATATATTGTTGCATTAAGTTGTAGGAATTGATTGAAACCGTTGATGCATTTATTACTATCCTTGCCTACCTTATTACCTTTCACCCTGTTAGGTCAGGATCAAATAACTACTTAGCCTTGCTTAGACCGGTAGCGATCGGTGATATCTGGTCACCTACATTATTGGTGGTTACTAGAAGAATTTAGTTATGGAAAGAATGATATCCTCGAATTAACCATACTTTATGGAGAATTGGAGACCGGACGAAAAAGTTGGAGGCAACCAGACAGGGTTCTGGGGTGCTATTAGTTTTCGTCTGTGTCGATTAAGGACCGATCGTTGCTCGTCCCTCTTGTCATGTTGAACGCATGCCTCACATTTAGCTGGTCGAATAAAGTACCTTTCGACCGCGAAGCTAGTGGCACTATTCGGGCCAGGATCTACACGAGTGCGCATATTGGTGCTAATGGGGGTATGATAGGAGCGTGAAGAGTGAGCCCAAGGGCAGGTGCGACCTGATTCCTGGCAGTCGGGCGGTCCCTGGGTACTGTGGTTCCAGATTGTCCGGCGGCTACCTAAATAGTGTCCTTGGTGATCTAAGCTACCCTGGCAGGGGAAGCATGGTTTGTGTGAGGAATAAATCACCAGCTGGTTAGGAATCGATTCAAATCACCATCGCTCCTGGATAGTGAGCACTTGACTCGAGTTACGGCATCGTAGTAATTATGATGGAACACTAATGGTTATCTAGATGATATAAGATAGGCTAAAGCTAAATTGGTAATTGGATGTTATTAGTTAATCAATTGATTGCTATAGTACAGGTGCTTACCTAGATGAATAGGTTATAATAAAGATGATGCAAAGTATTTAAAATGGTTTCTTCATGATAGCTTATGCTTTTCGCAAACGAGTCAGCTAGCCCACTAAAGAAAGCCTTGCATAATCCTTGGTGTCGCTTTATTTTGGTTTAAGGCGGGTAAGTCTAGCTGAGTACTTTCTCGTACTCAGGGCGTTGTTCCCATTGTTGTTGTAGATGGTCAAATATACTACGACTATTGCATTAATTGTCTGTATCCGGCGATGAGTGACAACTAGGACCAAGGGCAATGGTCACTCCGCATCTCTTATCTGATACTTTTGTTGGAGATGACTACCTACTAGCATTATATCTGAACTAGAAGTGTGTGTGGCTTTAAAACTATTTGCTTCCGCTATTTCAGTTTGAACTTGGATTGTAATAACTTTATATTCTAAACTCTGATGTACCGAACTGTGGTTGCGAACTTTATATAACGTGTGACGGTACTTGTTAAACTTGTACGATCTTGGTTTGTATGTCGATTGGTTTGAAATCCTTCGTGGTTTCACGGACTACCGGGTTATACGGGCTTAAATTTGCTAAATTATCTGCTTCGGCGGAAGATTTTCTTACTTAATCTCGTATAATTGGTCGGTTCTGTTACACCCTCTAGGCCGAGCTCGGAACCGCTACAACTCGGAGGCTGGAGGCCGAGGGCGTCTCTGTCGGGCTAGCCACGGAGCTCGCCGAGGCAAGGAGGAACCTTCAGGAGGAGAGCGACGAGCTCGGTATCCTGAGCGCCGTCCTCGGAGTGGTCTGCGATGACCTGGAGGTGGTGCGGTCGGAGGGGACCAGTTCGCTCGCGGCCCGTGTCGTCAAGATCACGGCGCGGGTGCGGCAACTTTAAAGGAACGTCCTTCGCGCCGGGATCAACCAAGCCTTTGCAATTGCCCGTTCTCATTACGCGGACAGCATTGACTTGGAGACGATGACCCTCGGCTTCGCTCCTAGCTACGAAGCCTATGAGCTGGATGAGATAGAGACGGCGGTGGCTCCCCTCTTGCAGGACCTGGCGATGAGTCTTGGCCATATCATCACAAGGTTAGCATGCCACGCAGTAGTTTATGTAAGTTCATTGGACCTCATATGGTATAATTAGCAAATTTATGGTGCTAAAAATGACTTTTGAGAGAACCAGGACCTCACGCAGCATGGAATTAACCCACATAATCTATCCCTTTTGAACTGTCGGCCTCACTTGCCAAGGAGTCAAATACACTCAACTTTGACCAAATATACACAAGAAAATATTAATATTTATGATACATATTTAGTATCATTAGATAGATAGTTGAATCTATTTTTATAATAAACTTATTTGGAGATATAAATGTTGCTAATATTTTTTATAAACCGAGTTAAGCTTAAGAAAGTTTGACAATCACAAAGCAACACTTAAAGGGACCGAGGGAGTATGTGTTATATATGTGCTTGCACGCTGCTAATTATTAACCAATCACCACATATTTCTTTGTTTAGTGCTTACGCTAATTCTTGATCATATACATGATCTAGCTAGATGGACATATAAATAGCTATATCACAGGGGAAAAGCACATATATGCATGTATACATGTCTGATTTGTATCATCCTGACCCAACAAAATTTCTAGCAGTCCAGCCAGAGTACTCTACCAACAACATAGCGAAATTAAAGTGGACCGTACGCCAACAAAGATTATTGGCAGCCCATGCACAGAGCCACAGAGGGCAGCACAGGTCTGTGAGATCTTGTCGTCAAGAGTTAGCTAAGGCTGGGAAAATCATGTACATAGGTCGCTTTCAAATACGAAAAAGGATGAGTAGGAGGAAGAGCAGCTAGCTTGGTCAGGAAATGATCTGATCCCGTGCGCGCATTAGTTGTGAGAAGGTGTATGTGTTCTAGGCCCGGCATAATCCAGATGAAACCCCGTGTCCTCCCGTCGAGAAAGCCTCTGTGAAACTGTAACGGCAGGCGTAGGCGTAGCTCGAACTGCACCAGCAGATGCTGCTGCCATTTTGATCCCCTCCTTCACCTTCGCATCCGCCTGCTGCTGAGCCATCATGCGTCTAGCCTCCATCTGCTTTGACAGCCAACCGTCAGCTTTCGAGCTTGTTGCTGCCACATCCTACAAGAAGGGAAACGAAACGGATTAAAATATGCAACCGAGATGATACTTGCTGAAAAAATCACTATGAATCTATGATCGAGTGATGAACTGACAAAGCCACGCATAATCCTCAGCGATGATGCCAACCTTGCCTGGTAGACGATGCGACTTGCTGGAGCTGCGGGCCTTGCCATGGACCGGAAGACCTCGCGCCTCACATGAGCTAGCAAGGAGGACGACGATGGAGAGGAGGAGAACGGGGAGAACGGCAGTGCTGTGCTTCTTCATTAGCTGCCCTTTGGGGGCAAGAAGAGGAGAGCTTATTAGGCCGCTGCTAGGCATGGCAAGAAGACAAGCTAAAGCACTAGTAGAATGAGAAGGAAGCAGCAGGAGAAGTGGATATGAAGGGAGACATGAGGGAGCCAGGCGATCATCTTGATGGCCGTGCGAGGAACTAGCCGAGGAATACGCGCGCGTGTGAGGTGGTGGAGGAGGCTACAGTAGCTCGGTGAACCGCCCTTGGGAATATATACAAGTGCATGAACGCGAAGAAGACGCATGGGTGAAGCCCGAGGGGTTCTTAAAAGCTGTTACTTGTTTTTCCCAAGTTCTATGACACACAGCTAGTAGCTAGCGATGTTTGTCTTGGTTGGGAGAACGCCGAGAAGAAACGTACCTTAGCTTGTGCCCTCACTGGCCCCACAATGTGCAGTGTTATGATTAACTACTCCTTGCTTAAATCTGGATTAGTGCCCTAAAGGCTAAGGATAGGTTTGCTCCAGCGTCCAGCCCTATTAGTTAACGTTGTCCTGGAAAAGTTGATCATTTTCTACTTGCAAACGAAGGGGAAATATGTTACATGAGAATTCACTCTTACCTTTCTCCTTGAACGAAAACGGAATTCAAGCTAGTCTTCTCAATTCTCAGAGCACGTATCGTCATTCTTCACAACTTAACAATCACTTTTCGGTGCAGAGAAAGAAATTAAGGACAGTCTGAGACAAGGTTTTAAATCTCCAGCTATAAGCTACTGCTATAGCGCACTATAGCAGTTTGATACAAGTCAAAGTCCGTGTATAATTTAGCGGCTAGAGCCTGCCGTTATAGTCTCACGTTGGAAATAATGGCAATTTAGGGACGCATAAATTGATCCCGACAATGAGGAAAAGAACAACAGCATACATTATAGGTGTGCGATTTAATACTAGCACTGCGATCCGAGCCAAACTCAACTCCCTAATGCTAATGCTAGTAACAAAAGGAACGCTAGGACGAACATCAGAGAAAGTATAGATATTCTTACAGTGGGGTTGTCGACGCTAGAGATAGCGCAAGAGTAGACGAAGCAGACCGTCAATGGAGATTAGCAAACACCGGTGTAGAGGGAAGAAGACGTCCACTCGTCTAGCAAGCAGTCGCGACGGCACTTCCCAAAAACGTGATACGCTCCCTACCCCGTGCAGGGACACGAGGAAACGTAGGCTACGAAAACCTGCTCTCCCGGTGCCGATGACACGTTGGCGACGGGATGGGGCGAAGACGGCGGCGGCGCGGCTTAGTGGTAAAAGGAGGAGATGAATTGTCTGTATTGAGGATGACGTCTCGTCGCAATATATACACACGTCGCATCTATGAAAAGTAAGCCGCGCAGTCACATCACTAAGATGATTGACCTCCCGTGTTAGTCGACTAGAGCATTAAGAAGATTGCCCATGGCCCTACTGGTCACACCCTTAGACTGACTCCAACAGAGTAGGCATAGCGTGACCCAAACCCAAAATACGTTGTACACAGTGTTTTAGCGGGACAAAAACAGCCTCCAACGGAGTAGGCAAACACGTGACCCATTTTGGGTGGGAGGCGACGCCGAATGCAAATAAGGGTCTTCTCTTCGTCTTTCTACGTCTCCACGTAGGGTCCACCACCCCGAGATCCGCACAGGAGCCTGGTCGGGTGAGAGCAGCGCCTCGGGGTCGCCGCACCGGAGCCGGCTCAACACGGCGGCCGCGCAGGTGGCCGACCTCCTCGCGCTCATGCTTGCGGACGCGGGGCCCGCCCTCGCCGGCGCTAGTGAGGGCGACGCGTCCGCTACTGCGGTCGCTGCACACCTTGACGCCGGTGTCGCGCTCCTCGACGCCTGCAACGCCATCGTCGTGCGCCTCGACCGCCTCCTCGCGCGCCTCGCGCTCCACCTCCTCCTCCTCCTCCTCCGGTTTTCGCACGGGCTCGCGCGCGCGCCGTGCCCAGCGGCGTCCCCATCCCCTCTATGGCCGCTCCCTTCGCTCCCGTTCGAGCAGCCCCGCGGGTGGCTCTCGGACGCCGGTGAGGTGAGCGCCTTCGACGAGGGCTTCCGCAGGTTCGCGTCGGCGCTGGACGCTGGGACCGACGACGAGGCGGCGGTACGCGCCGCGGCGCAGGAGGTGGAGAGGCGCACGGAGGAGCACGCGGCGCGGCGAGGCGGGACCGCGGCGGGGAGTCGGCGGCGCGGCAAGGCGGGTCCGCGGCGCTCGGCGGGGCTTGGTGGGCGGCGTTCTCGTTTCTCTTTTGCGTCCTCTGTTGGAAAAGGGAAGTTTTTGGTGTCTAGCCATTTTACCGACGCGACCCAATCTATCAAATGTGTCTCGCATTTAGGTTGGGGCTGTTGGAGACCGTCCAAGCTCCGCAAAATGGCTAAGAGCATTTGTACATTTGGAAGCTGCACTGCTGAACACCACGCGCGCGTGATCTCTTTAGATTACTTTCGCATATATATATATTTTTGGAATTTTTCGCACTGCATTGTCTGTGAGACTGACTATCTCCAAAGTACTACTCATAATTACGTTTACGTGCATCACATTACAGGATTTACAGCAAGCGTGTCATTTTCTAACAAAAACATTTGAGCAAGCATGTGCATCCGAGTCATTACAGGTCAGGTGGTGCGCCATCGACCACCGTATTCAGTTACGAGCTCCTCAGTCCTCACCACACAGCCATGCCATGCATCTGCGCCGAGGCGAGCACACGGAGACCCTTTTCTTGGGCCCGCTCCACGGGAAAGCCCGGCGATTTGCGCAGGCAGCCATGGGAAGAGGGCGTGCGTGGTGGGCTTTGGGCGTGCAGATGTCGGGGAAAGGTGCCACACAAGAGCTTTATTAACTAAGAAGAGACAGAATTACATTAAAATTAGATAAGGCTTTCAACGCACGCAGGCGCTTGCCTTAAACATCATACTAGCTTTGGAGGTTTTAAAATTAAAATTCTCTCCTGTATGCTACATTTGGGTTCTCTGTTATGCCTTTTAGCCTCAATTTTTTTTCTAAAAAATGAAAAGCATTTAAATTCATAGTTCGGAAAGTAGTATTTTGTCATGTAAAATTTCTCAGCGTACATGTTCAAGTGAACCCAAAATTCTTTAACGAAATGCATACTCAAAACTAGGTTTTATGTAAAAATTAAAGTTGAACCAACTCAAAACAAGCTCAGAATTCACAAGGATGCTAAATACAATTGACGCGAGTATAAAATATTGAGCTTTTGTTTAACGTTTTCAAATTTGATTTCACTTGAGGACGTGTGTGTTGAGAAATTACATGACAAAATACTACTTTTCAAACCATGAAATTATATAATTTTTTCTATATTTTGCAAAAACATTTGGATCTAAACAATGTAACGAAAACTCAAATATAGCATTTTGACAAGAATTTTAATTTTATAACTACAAAAGTTATGATGCCAAATACAAGCAAAATGGGTCATCATCTATTTAGAAAATCATAAGATTTTTAGATTATTCTAGGTATGTTTCCTTGTAAAAATTGATGACATTCATTTGCCGCAAGTGTTATCATAAACATTAAACGATAAACAGTCAGTCACTTGTCGTTTAGCCATTGTTTGGCCTAAACAAATACTTAAAACCGAACAAACTATCATCTAAATGGGGGTGAACGATCAATTAAACGGAAATGACATACCACTGTGTAGTACTTAAATGGAGTACAAATAGACTAAATAACTGTTTATTAAGAGAACAGTGTTTACCACATGACGGTGATGGCGCAGGGTCATGCATGGGTGGGGGTGGGGGTGAGGATGGCCTTAACTCATGATGGAAGCGGATGCAAGGCCATCGTTCTCCCTCCCCCTCCTTTTTATTCAGCCATTTGGCCTTCACTTTGGCCGTCGGGTATCTTGCCCTCTATCTCCGCTGTGGACTGCCTCACCTCACGTCCGCTACGGTCGTGGCATGTCTCGGTTTCACCTTTGCTGCTGACTCCCTCTACCCATGACACGGCCTACCTTGGCCTTCGAACCCGCCTCGACATGCGAAGAGAATGGGAAGACGCCTCCGTAAGGAGGTCTGCTGTCTTTTGTGGCAGAGACATACAGTGACGGACACCACGGGAGAAGGAGACTAATAATTTAATAAAGTTAAGGTGTGAACTCGATAAAAGATAGTGACGGAGACCGTGAGAGAAAGAGGATAAGAATAAAGTTAAGGTGTACTATGGTATACCAATAATATGTTTGTCATGACTCTGGCTCTAGCTCCAAAGATGAGTTGGAGGAGTCACACCAAATATCCCAGTAGGAGGAATATTTTTTGGAAGACATTTTTTTTATAGAAGAGAAGGTGGAATTTGTGGTTCTTTCTTCCAGCTCCGGCTCTTCACTTAGAAGAGGAGCCTTGCCAAATAACTCCTTAAATATTTGAATAGAAAAATAAGTTCGACCAAATAATTACCTACTGATTTTTTTAACTGACTAATTTCTACACAACTGAAGTGCATCTAGGCCGTTTCTCCGAGTGCAAGTGCTCCGACGTAACGTATCGGGCTGGGCACTGGTGGGTGTGCACTAATTTAATCCGGGTAAGACGTGTCTTTTACCACTGTACATCGGTCCACGCTGATGCGCACCCAGTGGCATAGGAGCAACGAAACCTAATTACGGTACTGTACATTCTGTCTGTAAAAGCAGGACCGCGGGTCGTGTCGCGTCAAGTCATACGTACTACTACATCGTGAATGGTTCTCCTGGAGCTAGGTGACCACCACTACTCTCGATCTCGACACACTTGCATCGTGCGGATGGACCTTTGCTGGTTTTGTACATGTTGGTATGAGTCGTAAATATAATTAGAATTGGGGACTAAAATATAAAATAAAAAAGAGATAAGATGGAGTACCTGAGAAGATCGATCCGGTCAGTGTTTCCAACTTTACTGTTCTTCCCCTTCTTCTCTTATATCCAACATTCCTCTTAAATCCACCTATTAATCTACAATATGGTATCAAGAGCGGGTTAATCCTGTCATGTCCATCTCGTTTTCGTTGATTGATTGGGGGCAGAGGCGGTGGAGACGCCGTAGTTGTCGCCATCCTTGTACAGGAGTCGTCGTCGCCCAGACTAGAAGCAGCTCTGTGGCAGACGCTGTGACCACAGCCTCTGTCAACACGAAGACTGAGCTACTAATTCCCGCAAGGTACGGGTGCTTGCTTGGTTGCTTGCCGGCGGCGGAGAGAAAAGTTGCGTGCTTGCTGGTGACCGTGATCTGCTTGCTTGTTTCCTGTATCAGGGAGGAGCTAGTTCTTGGTTGTTGTTTTTTTCTGCTAAATACTGAATCTGCTGCTCATGGCTGAAACTAGTGGAGAGAAATCAGTAGATCACGTGGAAAAACTTTATGAAATATTTAGCAAATTGATGGAGCAACTTAAGGTGGTGACTTCTGATATTCTCAAATACACACTCGAGTCTAATCCAGTAAAATTATCTGGACTAGAGAACTATGTCAGTTGGGCCCGTCATTGTAAGTTAATTCTAAGCTCTCATGGATATGAGTGTTTACTTGTCGATTCTGATAAAGAAACAAGGGAGGTTGATACAGCAAGCAAGCAAATAAGTGATAAAGTACTAGTATGGATGTTAAGTAGTATGGAACCAATTATCAGAGA